CTTACCACTATCATGCGTGGGTTCAGCAGCGTGAGGTCCAGGTCATGAATATCTGGGTAACGGGGGTAATCCTCAGCCATCTCAGCATACGACAGGCGAGGCTGGCTGGTGCTCTGCAATCCCAAAACAGCCCTCACTCAGGAGAAGTGTTACCCTTCCTAAAGAGTGTTCCTCAAGTGCCTGAACAGCCGCAGCCATGCGAGAGCACAGCCAAGACTGGAGCTCTCCCCAGTCCTCCAACACACTCAGGGAGTTACACAGACATCCAGAGAGAGTTCTCAGAGATCACTCTCAGTGGAGCAGGGAACATGTAAATCAACACAAGGAGCCATGTTTTGGCAGAGGAGAGGAAAGGCCTGACGTGTCTGCGATCCTTGCGGGGTTTACTCCCCCCTTTGGAAGGCAGCTCCAAGACACGATGCAGGAGTTGGGCAAACAGGCTGGACTGTTTTGCTTTCTACACGCTCGGAGAGACGTCTGTCCAGCAAGCCATGGAGAGGCAGACAGACCAGGTACAAAGACACCATGCTGATGGGTGCACAAGGGTTTGTCAGACCTTCCCTCCACCTTTGGCTGCTCCACAAGGGGATGTCACTAGTGCACGATGTATTTTCACAGAGAAGCTGCTATTGTTTGGTCTGCACCTTTTCCTGCACTTGCCCAGTTACATAGCCTAACCCTCCCTTCGAAGCCAGAAGGGAAGAGTCACAGTCAATACTCCCCATTTTTTCCATCCATGTGTGGAATAAATTGTGGCATGCACCCAGGCACATGCAGATGTGCACCACCAGTAGAAAAACATGCTGCCGGCTGTGGGTGCTCTGCTAATCAGCTGGGCAGCAATTGAATCTCTCCTGGATGGTCTCCCAAGTGCTCAATTTACAGGGAGCAGGGATGCCAGTTCCACACTGCAGCTTCTAAGAGGACAGAGGAGTTTAAAACCCTGCATGCCAGCCCCTGGGGATGCAGTCTGCCCAATTCCTCCCTTCCCAGGGAGAGTCCGCATCTCCCCCAGAATCCACAAGACCCACCGACTGACTCTCGGAGTAACAGACTCCTCGGACGAGCAGGGTAACCAGCTGCGAGCGCAAAATCAGGCCGTGGAAGGTCAGCGGTCGGAAGCGCTCCTCCATGGTCCACTCTTCGCTGGGGGACTGGTCTGGGTACAGGTTGGGGTAGGGAGTATACCTGTGACAGATTTCACACCACTGGTTACAATGGGGACTGCCTGGAAGTACCTGAATAGGATAGTGTCTGGCAAGCTGGGGAGTGCTTTGTATGCACAGATTGCCTTCCATACAAGCATGTCCAAGCGCTTCACACTGGGGAAAACACTTGCCCATCTCTTCTACAGATCACGAAACCAAGATAAAGAGGGTTAAGTGACTTGCCCCAACTCAGCGGGGGAAGCAAACCAGAAAACAGCCTTCCCAAGCTGCAGTCCCTGCTCTAACGATGAAACTCCACCCTGCCCAGTCCCAGCAGGCTGCTGGCCACACTGAAACCAGATCTGGGTAGCAGGACCCTGGCTGCTAGCTTAGAGCTCACCCAGGCCAAGCGAGGCACACAAGGGGGAACCTTGCTCTGCCATCGTCTGTGCTGCAGACACAGCGGGCTGGCATGTTTCACAAGCACCATGCCCCCCTTATGAAAGAGGGGACGGTGTTAGACACCCAGCAGGCGGCAGCAGGGAAGTCTAGAGGAGTAAAGGAGAGGCTGTGAGGAGTGGTGAGGACCAGGCAGGAGTAAAGGGAGAGGAAGAATGTGTTAGGGGTTACAGCACTAGCCCTACAACATGGCAGTCCGGGGTCCAAGTCCCTGCTCTGCAACAGACTCGGGTAGCGACAGTTCTCACCTTGGGCAAGTCACATCTCTCTCAGCTGCCTGTTTGTACAATGGCCTGGGCCTAACCTACAGTGAGTTGTTGTGAGGTGCTCAGTTACTATGGTAAAGGGGACTGCGTAAGTACTCTAGATAAAGCCCACTCTGTTTCCAGCCAGCTCACCTTCTCTCCAGCATCTGCTGCAGCAGATCCTCCTTCTCGGGCGGCTCCTCCGTCGCCACATGCTCGTCGCACATGTTGCGCAGCTCGCTCGAGGGGTACGATTTCATGGACTGGCTCCGCTTGCGCTGTTCTCCGGCTCTGGTGAGGATGCTGGATTTCTGGAGAGGGTGGGGGCAGAAACTTTACCCAAGGGACATGGATCTTGTGCAAAAGAGGGAGATCGGGGCTGTATCCACGGAGTGCCAGAATGAGCTCTTTCTGATCTAAGCCTCGCTTTAGTATATGTGGCTAGCAAAGGGCTATCTGCTAGGAAGCTATCCCAGGGATTGCTTGCATTGTATTGGCAGGGGCCCCCAGGCCTGCAGGATTCACTCTCTAAAAATGAGAGGCACGAGAGATGAAACAGGCCTACTATGAGCTCAGCAGAGCTCCATCCAGCAAACTCACTTGCATTTCACTCCCTCCCATCCAGCCCTGCCAGTGTCCCCTTGGAATGAATTTTCACCATGGCCCATGGAGATCTTTCCTCATGCAGTACGACAACTTCACTCCATCCCTCCTGCCACACGCTTAGAATATTGGGAAACTCTTCCTGACAACACAATGTATTGTGGGGACAAAGTCATGGACAAGCCGCACGCTGAGGCAACATGACTCATGCACTGACAGCCCGGCCAACACAGGAAGCCGCCCCCCTCCAGCATCAGTGAAAAGCCCCGTATTCCCAAGATCACCAGGCTGCTACCTCCTCCTCACCTTGAATTTAATGTTGTTGCTGATCAACTGGTTCCCCTTCATGAACTCCCGCTCATTCCCCCGGTTCTCCGTCACCACAGGGAAGGCATGATGGACTGTCGTGCGCAGGATACTGACCAGCGACTGGATCCGGGTGTGGGGATACACGTAGGTCAGGTTGGGTTCCATGATATCACTGGCTCTCAGCCTGAAGCAGTGGAGAAATGCGAAGTCACTACGTGGCTCCTGGGGGTGCTAACATGCTAGCTGCAAAGCAGCACGGTGCCGAACAAGCCTCAGAGAACCCTACGCAACTCATTTCCCTTCTGCGATGCCTTTGCCCTTCCTACCAACCCTGTCTGCAGAGAGCAGCTCGAAGGTTACGGAGGCAGCTGCGTTCCCTACCTAGCATCGCAGGAGCACGCGATGCATTAGACAAGGTGACAAAGGCTCCTGCCCCAAAGAGCCTGCAACCTATGTTAGACAACGTAAAGGTTCCTGCAACACCACCAGGAAAGGGAAAGAAAACCAAGGAAGAGATATGTCACATGAAGCCACCAGCAGATACAGCCCCCACGTTTTCACCAAGCCCCTCGGTGCTCTGTCCTGTTGCACCACTAGGCTGTGCCGTTCTACAGGAAGCACTCTGAGTATATGGGAAAGCACCCTGGGGTCAGTGGTTCTAGAGCCACGTCAGGCAGAGCCCACTTGGCTGCCTCCCTTCACTTAAAGAGCAAAGAGGCTCTCGGAGTAGCTGGGGAACGCACTTCAGTCAGTCCAAGAACCTTGGTGAGATATTAGTGCTGTTTCTAGAGGGAAAAAGGAGGTCCAGAGAAATCAGGTGACTTTCCCAGTCCACAGTGGCAGAGAAAGGGATAGCACGCAGGAGTGCCTTAAGAACATAAGATCGGCCGTTCTGGGTCAGACCAAAGGTCCATCTAGCCCAGTGCCCTGTCTGCCGACAGTGGCCAACACCTGATGCTACAGAGGAAGGGAACACAACAGGTAATCCTCACGTGATCCCTCCCGTCACCCACCTCCAGAGAAATAGAGGCTAGGGACACCATTCCTAGCCATCCTGGCTAATAGCCCTGATGCTGATCACTCCGCCATCTACCTTTTCTCAAGCCCCAGCTTTCCCACCCCACTTCTGGCTTCATGCACCATCTCCACCTACTTCCCCAACACTCCAGGGAAGTCCCATAGGAAGGGGTGCCCCATTCCCCACTGGTCCAGAGAATCACAAGCAGTTCTCCAACACCGGTACGGCCAAGAGCCACGTCCTTACTTGTCAATTTCCACCTCCGTCTCCCACTCCAGCAGCGGCACCCCTCGCAGGCTCACGTGGATGTCATAGATGCCCTTGTTAAAGAAGTCTCCTGTCCATTTGGCTACCTGCAAAGACAGAAAAGCAGCAGTTGGCCTGCTTTGCGAGCACAAGACTCCTGGGTCTCAAAGCGGAGAGGCGATGGATAGCATGGATGTGCATGGGAGCCTCCCTCAGCCAAGCAGTGAGAAGCCAGAGTCTAGCCAAGAACCACGAAAGGGGCGTTGAAATGGTGCTCACCATCAGGGTGATCATTATCGGAAGCCCATAGGTGATCTCATTGGTGGATTCTATCAGGATAACGGTGAGGCTAATCGTCATGCGGACCACTCCTCCCAGGAAGGCTGCTGCACCAATCAGAGCAAAGGTCCCTGAGTAGATGTGGTCCAGCCCAATGTAGCTAGGGAGGAAGCACACACAGCGCCCTGGCATCAGGACCAAGCTGCTCAAGTGCCTAGCCAGCTTCAGCAGCGTTTGACAGCACACGCACACAAGGCACCTTTTGAGGAGGTTGGCGACCAGGCGTCCAAAGGCAGCCCCGCAAAGCAGCGACGGTACAAAGAGACCGCTGGGCACAGAGCTCCCATACGTCCAGCAGGAGAGTAAGAAATAGAGAAGGAAGAACAGGGAGAGCGTGACTGGGCTGAAAGTACCTGCAACACAAGAAGAGTTATGACCCAGGGGCTCAAGCCTTTCAGTCAAGCTGGGATCTCCCCACCTCCTCACAGCAGACTCTCCTTTCCACCTCAAAGCAGCTCCTTAGCCCCAGAGTCCCAATGAGGCCCAAGGACGGTGGTGAGACAGAGCAAGGGGGAAGCCAGGACAGCAGAGCCTACTCACTGCAGCTGGAGCGCTAGCCCAGGTCCACAGCAGGCCCTGAAAGCCACAGGAATCTGAAGATGCTTCTGGCTGATCGTAGGTAAAGCTTAGACCAGACTCTGAAGATGCTGGCATGGAACCCGAGTAGGTCGTCTCCTGGATACTCACCATCCTGGTGGAAGAGCTGCAGGATGGCTGATTCCTGGGGGTTGAAGAAGAGCGTTGCCATGTCGTTGTAGGTTTCATTGGGGCAGAAGAAAGTCTTGATGCTTGCATTCACATCCTCCGAGGAAGAGTCCTAAACAGGAGCAATCAGGCAGTACGTGAAGGTATAATCCGATCACACCACACCGGGAGCGGCCACCAGGACCAGAAATAAACCTGCACGCACAGCTTTCAGCACTGCCTGTGGGGGCAGTCACATCCAGACACATGATACAGGACTTGAAATGAGACCAGATACACAATTGCCATCCCTTGGTCCAGGGGGCAATATTCTCTTGCACATCCAGCTTTCAGCAGTGTATGCAGCCGTATCTGCAGAGTGTTAGTTCTAGGGAGAGGGGGATATGAGGGGTGTATATTAACGTAGCTGATGGCATGTTTCCTGGGGTGCTGGGGACAGTGCCTGTCTGGTGGACAAGTGTTACCTGAAGGCTCAGAGTGCTGTTGCCACTATGATTGGCGGAAGACATCTGCCGGCATTCTCCTAGAATCATGGAAGCTACGAACACCACAATGGTGGTGGTTAGACACACCAGCAGGCTCTCCAAGACTCTGCAAGCACAAAGCACAAACCATGCAGGGAAAACCATGCTCAGAATGATCAAATCCTTGGTCTTTGCAAACAGCCCTGCATCCCAACGTTGCTCTGAAAGAGCTACAGTAACCAGCTATTTGGGGCTCCGCTAAGCAGACAGCCGAGCCTAAAATCAGCCTGTAAGATGGGCCATCTAATGAGCATGGTCATTCCAACCAGCGCTGGCCAGAGAAGGCTGATAGACTTTGAAAGCTACTCAGCAGCCAGAGAAGATTTGGACACAGTCATTTAACTCTGCACTAGGCTTGCCCTGCACTGACCCTTACTGCCATCATATTAATCCAAGAGGCCCGGACTAAGATCTTAGATGCTGCTACAGCCTTTCCTCCACTTATCCACCTGCCCTCAAGGGCTTCTGGCCTACACAGCACATGGTGAAACAGCATCGATGGCATCACCTGACAGACCGTCTTTAAGTTGCCTTCCATGGGCTTTGCTGTATCATTCAGAACTGGTCTCTTCCTTCTTAGCTACATGGTAATTTTCTGTAAACAGAGCTTGTATTATGCACTAATTTCCTGCATCAATGGAGTGGACACGGTTTGACTTGAGATGTTCTGATTGAATGAACCAATTAAGCAAAAGGCACTGTCCTAGACACAGCTGTTCCTTCCATGACTATTTAGCCTGAAAAAAAGACCTAGGGGGACACCTAGTGGTGACACATGCTGAAGTTGAGCAGCAATTAAAGGGTTTTTTTTCCCCCCCTTCAACAAAAATTTTTCCCGACCCCTTTTATTGGGCCCGGGGGTTGCGAATGTAAAAAGGTTGCACACCCCTGATCTAAGAACTGAAAAGATCCCTAGGGTCCGTGTACACTGCACGGCATTCTCAAAGAATCTCCTTCATATGCATCATAAAGGACTCCTGGTTCCTTTGCATCACAAGGGGCATGACAGTTGAATTTTAGCAGCTGAGGTTAGCTTAGCATTCTCTCTGCAGAAGCCATAAAGCGGGACGGGGAACCTTTACGTCAGGACCACGGACACACAGAAAAAAAATCAGTCGGGGGCCAGAAAAGTCAGAAACAAACACGCACACACACACAACCCACACTCTCCTCACTGATAACGCCCCCAACTCCCCATAGTCCCCTCACACAATAGAGCCTAGGAGGCCTCCAAGGCTCTGGGGTGGAGCCAAAAATGAAGGGTTCAGGGTGTGGGAGGGGGTTGTCAGGAAGCAGGCTGGGGCACAGAAGCAGAATGGGGATGCAGGGTGGGAGCAGGAAAGGGGGATGCAGGGTCGGGCTGCGGATTGGGGGTGGGGTAGTATGCAAGACTGGAGGAGGGTGCAGGAGCGGGCTGTGGGGGGGGGGTCTGGATGGGAGAAAGGGTGCAGGAGTGAAATGGGGGGAGCAAGGTCTGTGTCCTCCACAGCTCTCAGGCACCACCCCCTGCTGCACTTATTGGCCTCAATTACGGCCAATCAGAGCAGGGCGAGGGAAGCCTCCAGGCAGGATTTCTCCAGCAGGGGAGAGGGGGTGGAATGGAGAGGGAGAGCAGCAGCTTCCTCCCCCCTGCCAGGCACAGCCTGCCATTGGATCAAGCCCTGCCATATCTGACTGGCCTGTGAGACTGGAGTGCCAGCACAGGCTCCCAGATGCTGGGGAGAGCCCAGAGCTTCGGGGCCCAGATCCAGGCAAGCCAGGGGCCAGTCATAGGTTGCCTACCCTGCTATAAGGTTTGCCAGGCTTTGTTAGTTCATTCAGAGGGATTTGCATTCTGTTCTCTAGTCCCCATTTTTCCATATTTTAGCCCCTGCAGCTCTTTGAGTCTCTGTGGACACAGGCAGTGGGCAAAAATAGACAGAGATTACACCGCGGGAGGCAGAAAGGAGACCGGATACCTGACCAGCTTTGGCTTCGGATGTACGTTCCGCATGCGATACTTCGCCAGCTTCTTATTTAGGCAGTTGAAAGTGGCTCCAAGAAGGCCTCCCACGATTCCCATCATAATGAAGAACCCCAAGTCCACAGCCGTCCAGAGGTGGCATTTTTTATCAGAAGCTGAACGGCAGGAAGAAAGAGGGAGAAATGCAGGAATGAGAGCAAGATGCAAAAGAGAAGATGGAGACGTACCAAAGCAGCCACTAAATCCGCCAGCCACTTCTACCTCAGAGACAGGAAACATTCAACAGCGCCAATCACAGAACCGGATTAATTCCCTTTGTCAAAACAGAACAGCAACTACAAAGAGCAGCTAGGGCATTCCAGCTGGAGCTCTTCACTCCCCTTTGTGGGACTGCAACTAACAGTGTTCGTTCCTTTCACAAAGCCAGCCAGGAGCTACAAAAGGGCACACCCGGAAAGGCAGCAAAGCAAGCACAACATACCTTGAACTCCCCAAAGTTTAGCAGCCCAGGTAGCTGGAAAGACCCCCAGCTTCCAAACTGAATCCCGGAGCGGAAGAAGTTCAGGGTGAAGGTGGCAGCCATGGAACAAAAGAGCTGGAGGAGTAGAGAGGCAAGAAAAACACCCAAGTCAATAGTGAGAAGGCCAGTCTCTCCATACAAATCATGTCTGGGGAAGGGAACTTGTAACCTACAAGCACTTTCCAAAATGTGACCCTTTGACTGTGTTCAGAGACTAGGACCAGAGAGACACTATTGTAATCACTTACTCCAGTGGCTCTCAACAAGGGTACATGTACCCCTGAGAGTAGGCAGAGATCTTCCAGGTAGTACATCAACTCGTAAAACTAGGCAACTATCTAGATAACAGGCTACATCAAAAGCACTGACAAAGTCAGTACAAGCTACAGTTTCATACAATGATTTTACACAACTACATACTCTACACTGAAATGCAAGTACAATATTTACATTCCAATGGATTTATGGTAAAAATGAGAATGCAAACTCTTTTCCAGTAACGGAGTGCTGTGACACTTGTGTATTTTTAAATGTCTTAATTGAGGTGAAATTTGGGGGTGAGACAGACTCCTGAACAAGCATCTGGAAAAGTTGAGAGCTGCTGATCTAATCTGACTTCTTGCATAACACGGCTCCCCAGAATTTAATCCAGTAATTCCTGCAACCAGCCCCGTTAGTCATGAGCACAGATCTGCAGCACCTAGAATCGATCTGTGTAGGATCACTTACACAGCTTGTTGGTGTATGTAATTTATAAATTGAGGCCTAAATTTGCTCTGGATTGGATTACCATCTTGGGGAAGCTCTCAGACCCTTCAGTTGGCTCTGCTGAGGGTAGCCTGCCACAGCTTTCAAGTTGCACTATGTGTCTGGCAAAAGAAAAGGCCAAGTCGCAGCACCAAAGGCTTCTATTCTTAGGACAAAACAGACTGCACTAGAAGTCTGCCAACTCCAGCCCAGGGCAGCAATCTGAGTCTGAGAATGTGTCCCACCCTAAGGCAAAGCCAGGTCTGTTTCTCACAGCACTTGGGGATGCAGCAATCTAACCGCTGCGTACTGTGCTTCCACTGCCCAGACGGGACATAGGAGCAAAGCCGCGTCTGAGTGCTGCCCCAACAAATGTGGAACAATTCCTCCTCCAAGTGAGTTATGGGAAAGTGCTACTGACCCCCAGCTGTAATTCACAGAATCACAGACCTCGAAGGAACCTCAAGGGGTCAAGTCCCGGCCTCTGCACTCATGGCAGAACAAAGCACCATCTAGACCAGGGCTACTCAACTTTGGAAGCCCCAGAGGCCACAGTGATACTCGTGGCCCTCAGCACGTGCTGTGGGCCACAACTTAAGTGTGGTTGCACGTACGTGCAAATATATATACAAATATATGCAAATAGCTTCTTCTACACTGAGGCATGAATACAAAAATTAAGACAAGACTACACAACACACAGGCCCCATTTAAGTCAGTTCCGTGGATAATAAAATGCAATATTTACCACATTTTCCACCCATATGACAGCATTTTTAATGAGCAATGACAGTCCAGGAATTTAACTTCTAAAACACATCTCAGCAGTAGACCATTATATTGACTACTTTTTTGTTTTGGCTTCACAACAGTCCAGGAATTTAACTACTAAAACACTTATCAACTGAAACCACACTGTAAACAAACGGGCCACATGTTGAGTAGCCCAGATCTAGACCATCCAAACGGCACCACGGGCCGCAAACAAACGGGCCACAGGCCAAGTTGAGTAGCCCTGATATAAACCATCATCTCAACTGTCATGAACTGCTCTCCAACCCCGCCAACTTGGCACTGTTAGCACAGAGGCCAAAAATTAAACAGACTGAATTGCCTGGATTCACCTAAAGACAACGCATTTTTGTGGCCATGTTTACAGACTCCTTTTCTCCAGATATATTGGACTTAACCTGGCACTTTTCACCAATGTTCAAATTGGGGAGTGAATTAAGTATCAAATAATGCCCTCTGTCAACAGAACTCTATCGACAAAAGGTGTTATTCCTCGTAGAATGAGGTTTACAGCTGTCGACAAAACTGCTGAGCTCTGTAGACGTTATGTTGGCAGAACTCAGCGGCAGTGTAGATGCAGGTATCATTTTGTCGACAAAACCCTGTAGTCTAGACACACCCCAAGGGTGGAGGTTCCACAACCTCTGTTTGTCAGAGGGTGGAGATGGATCGCAGGAGAGAGATCGCTTGACCATTATCTGTTCTGTTCACTCTCTCTGGGACACCTGGCATTGGCCACAGTCGGCAGACAGGGTACTGGGTTGGATGGACCTTTGGTCTGACTCAGTATGGCCATTCTTATGTTCTCCCTAAGAAATATATTCCCCTGCTTAACCACCCTGAGAGTTAGGAAGTTCCCTCTGGCATGGACACTGTAAGCAGTCTACATTGTGCCAAGAGAGCTCAGTGTGACAGATTCAAGTATCTCAGATTCTTCAGTCTAGCTCACTGGCTTCTAGCTCGAATCCCATCTCTCAGGTTCTAGCTCGAATCCCATCTCTCAGGTAACAGGAATCTAAAGAGCCCAAGTTCTCACCACTTTCCACGTGAGCCCCTGGTTCCAGAAGGAGGAACCTTCCTCTAAGCTGAAGAGAGTACCCCCGATTGGGGCCCCAAAGGCTGCAGCAACCCCCGCAGCAGCCCCTGCAGATACAAAGTCCCTTTTGTCCCTAAGCAAAGTGGGAAACAATGAGAGTTTATTAAGTCACAAACGTCAAGGAACTGGAGAAAGTCTTCAGATGCAGCCCACCCCGAATGCGTGCGCACACACAAGGAGAATCAAGCCCGGGGACTACGCTAATTGCTTGATGGGATCAGGAAGGGGGTCTTATTCCTGTATCCAGCTGTGCCTGGTGGGCAGCATCGTGCAGTTAGCAATCTGCGGCTGGATTTATCATCTCGCCCCAAAGCAGTAAACATTGGCCACAGCCAGAGATAGGATCTGAGATCGAAGGGGGAGCAGTGGTCTGATACAAAATTAACCACAATGTATCTCCAGCCCCTTTTGGAGGGGGATGTGCACAAGAGAATTGTGGGGGCAACCATGTGCTCCAGGAAGGAGTCTCTCCTGGATATACAATTGTATACCCTCCCTTTATTGGGCTGACTGATCCACCCAATCCAGCAAGCCCATCCCACCTTGACCAC